TGAAAACAACATTGTTGACGGAATCAACAAGATAAAGTGGTAAAAGAAAAGGTAAAAATATATACATAAATTTATTAAAGATAATTTAGAAATCTCTATAATAAATTTTAAAACATTGACTTTTAGATACACAATGAGGAAAATATAACATTAAAGAACAATATTTGAAAAGTAAAGTTTAAAAAGTCGGCGAACTTATTAACATTTGTACTGTGTTATTTTAACACAGAAGAACGATTATAAAAAAATTTTCTTTATGAAAGTTAAAACAGATTTTTTGTTTTATTATACATAATTTAAAAACTTCCTAGATTTTGTGGTCTCTATTAGAACAGTTGGCTTGAACGACTATATTCCGTCTTGGTGTTAAATTCGAAGAAAAAGATAAAAACGCCGTTTTATTAAATACCTCCTTATTACTTACAAATACTAATTACAAATTCCTGCAGCAATTTATCAAAATAAACTTAATTTCTTTAACACAAATTTAAACTTTGTTACACTGTCTCTCTTACACATATACACACACACAGACACACGTACAAAACTTACATGCACACATGCAATTAGTACTTAAGTTTATCTCTTAAAAAAGGAGAGAGAAAAAGTTTAAACACATTTTTAAGTTTAAGTTTTAGTTCAGTTTAGTTTAACCTGTCAAGGTAGAATTTTAATTGAAAAACTTTTTAAATTGTATAGAGAATATTTTAGAAGGTTCGGCAACGCCTCCACTTTAATGTTAAATGATTATAAGGATGATGCTGATGATAAGAGACAAACGGCTAAGTACACTAACGCATTATCTTAGTAGCTCTCTTTTTCTTTGGCAATGTATTGCTTAAAGTTATATTTTGTCAAATAAGAAAAATAAAAATAAAAGTAAAAATAAAAACCAGGAACAAATTTTCATTAAATTGTTAAGTTCCATGTTGTTGGTAAATTTGTTGCTGTTGTTACTGTTCTGTTTGTTTGTTCTGCCAACAACATAAAATATAATTACACATTCTTTTCTGGTATTTAACAACGTAAGAAGAAAAAATAAAAGTGGTTAGTGGCAGAGTTAGGTTGGTTTGGTTACAGGGAAATGGAAAACTTGCAAAGTAAGATTAATATTAATTAATTTTACTTTTCAAGATGTTAGAATAGGGAAAAGTGTATTTTATAACTTTTTGCATTTTTTTTAATTAAATAAGTTTTTAAAAATATTTAACATATACACAAAAAATTTAAGCTAAAGTTTACCTCCCATATATTGATGCAAACACTTACAATGATAATTTTTAAATTAAAATGTCGTTTTATATTTTAAGTTTAGTCCTTTAGTCATCTTTACACATAGCCTCATGTTGCCACTTTTTCAGTTCCTACAAAGTTTTTCTCAAACACAAACACACACACTTCATTAACTTTTTTTAATTTTAATACATAATGACTACTAAAAGCATAAATTTTTACTTTTTAGTTTTTTCTCGCTTGTCACTTATAACGATCGCACTAATTTTTTATATCATTATAAATAAATAATAGTATGTGTATTTATATAAAAGAGTGTATGTATGCTTGTGTCTTGACATATTACCCTGATGACTTTTCATTTTTCTCTTCCTTTTTCTTTGTTTATGTATGACAATACTTATAACTTCTCACTTTATTTATCTTACGAAAAGTCACAAGTAGCACTACCAAAAAAGCGAACAGAGGTGTGAAAAAACATTTAACATTTATCTTACTTTTTATTTTTATATTGGGTTCTTATAAGTGTAAATCTTTACATAAATAAATGTTTAAATAAATAGCACATAGTACGTGATCCGAGTTTTGCATATTAATTTTAGATTAAATGAGTAAAAGGAAAGCAAAAAAAGACATAATTATTGTAACAAATTTTGTACTTTATTTCTAGTTGTGTTCTAGTTGTGTTTACGCCAACAACATGACATATTCATGTCATTAACCCTACAACTTCAGCCCACTTGCTTTCCCATACAACGTAAACAAAAGCTGAAGTTTACGTGGATAAATAGTTATCAACATAACTATTTATCTCTTTCTAATTTAATGCCCAACAATAGAGAAATGTCAAACGGCCTAACATGTCCTAACACTGCTTCCGGATTGTAAACTAATTACTACTCTAACTTCTTCTCTGTTCTAACCCTAGACTGATAAAGAGCATTTCATCCCATCGTGTTGAGCTAAACATTTGGTCCCATCGAGCCAGATTGAAAATCTCTCTTATTGTTTCTGTGGATTAATATTACCATCATTATCATCAACTCTTCATAATCATCAACTCTTCATCATCATCATCTCTTTACCATCCATTTACTAACATCAAGGTACGTTTTAGTGTTTTGCATTTATTAAGCCTTTAGTTAGTGAGTGCATTTCGATCGACACAGAGAATTTTTGTTGCTTATTTTTTTAAATTCAACCACAACGTGGTGACTTGTTAAATAAATAATTACATAAAATAATTGAAAATTTTTGTAAAGAAACAAAATATTATTATTATATTATTGTGGGAAAATAATTAAGAAAATCGGCGAGAAATAATAATAATATAAGACGAAATAATAAATAATAATAACAGAAAAATAAAAGCTGAAAATAAGCAAAAGCCCGACGGAACGAGATCCAACAACAAACATCAACACAAGGAATATTTCTCTATTTTGGCCATCAAGTTTTTCGTCATTTTTCCGTAAGTCAACAAATCAATCCATAACATACAAAATTTGCAAGTCGTTCGGTGTTCGTCACGGTCTTAGTGTAGGGTACCTTTGCTTGCGCTTTATTTCTTATGCATTTAGGTATATTTTATTTTTTCCCCTTAAAAATATTTTCAATTTCGTTTTTTTTATTTTCCCATATTTACATTCTTCCCTTTTTTTCTAGTTTTCTTTAAATCCATTTAATTCTCCTTAAAATATTTCCCATTTCGTTTTTTATTTATTCCCCTTTTTAATTTTTTTTTCCTTTCATCTTCCCTTACTCCCATTTTTTCCCCTTAAAAAACAATTAATGTTTTTGTTTTGGGCCATCACATTTCCCCTACTTACCCTTTTAAATACATTAATACTCTCTTAATTTACATTAAAACCTACTTGCACTCTCTTATCCATTCTATCGTAGTTATAATCTCTTATTGTTTATACGTAATCTCTATTTGATCTCCGAACATCGTTTCCCCTTTTTTTTTTTTGTACAACTCTCTTTATCTACCGCATACTCTCCTACATATTGTTTGAGATTTTTTTTTCCATTCCAACGCATCAGTGTTACCAGCAAAGTTTTCTTGTGTTTCAATATAATTTACCAAATCACTTATTAAACGTTTTGGAATATACAATTATTTGAAATTACTACTAAAACGCTGACAGATTCGTAGTCAGGAATTTTTATACGCAACGTTTTCTAAGATTTAGATTAAGATCAATTTAAGTCCACATAAACGTGTTAAATTTAAAATGTTATGGTTTTCATTTGAAAATAATTTCATGCAGTTCTAGTTCAGTTCTAGTCATCCGATATTCTAAATTTAATTAATTAATTTTCCCTTCAAAGAAGCAAGATTAATATTTTTTTTGCGAGTTTAACTCATTATAAAATAAATTTTTTTTTAAATATTTGTTTTCATGCGAAACACATTTTAAAGAAATATTACTTTGTTAAAGATAAAAATATCCAATATAAAAAGGTTCCCAAAATTGTCAAATTATTCTTTAAACGACATAAATAAATAGCGTCACGGCAACCCTGTTTCACACTTCCATGAGTTCATACATAAACAAAAAAAAAAAAAATCATCACAATAGGCTTCTTCGTTGATTGCTTGTGTGACAGTATATTTTTTATTTATTTATATATATTTATATATCAAATCATTGATCTATTACTGGCTACCATTTGTTTGTGAGAGTTTTAATTATATTTGAAAATTATTATATAGAATTATATCTTAATTCGAGAATTTAAATTATTCTGATTAATTTTATTTTTTCGCTTAATTTTAATTCAAACAACAACTTTCTAATAAATTTCAATTTTATTTCTGGAAATTTCTAAGGTTATTTGTTTTAAGTTAGTTCAATTATAATTATTATAATACTTATACTCAGTCATAATATAAGTCAAATTATACTTTTCTTTCGGTTCAGGACACTTTTCATTTTGTGTCACGAACAAACCTATTGTTGGGAAGTTTCGTGGAAGTCCAACCAGAAAGTACAAATATTCGTCGTGTAGTATAATTATCCGCGAACAGACCGATTGTTGGGAAGTTTCGTGGAAGTGTAGTGCAATTTCCCATAAATAAAAGGTTTTTGTTTTCATTAAACAGCTGATCTAAAAGCTAGATATTTAAAAGAGTACATTCGTTTCAACCGCCAAAGTTAAATATATACATATTTCCGTTTTCAAAATTTCGCTATAATATTTCACAGAAAGAATTTGACTGAGTTTCTTTTAAATTCAATTGGTTTAGCTTTTCGTACAGAATAAATTTGATTACCTTTTAAACTAAATTTCCCCCATCAACGTTTCTGTTGAATTTTTTAACTGATTTGGGTTTTAACAGTTTATTTCTAATTTCAACTATACTTAATAATTTAAATTTGTTTCAAGATTTCTTCACAAGTCGAAATATTCAGATTTCTTAATGATAAATATTTTCTTTCGATATTAATTTTATGCGTTAAACTAAAATTTTATTTATTTATTCTCAAATTCAAGTTTTAATCAATTGTCTGTTATTAAATAAACATTTCAAAATAATTTTGGTGAAATTTGTATGAATTAGCAACGATTTTTTTTAATATTGAGCAGATATTTAGTTTTTTTGTGACTAATCTCTACATCAAGTGAAATAACTTTTTATAAATATTTTCATAATTTCGAGAGCTAGATCATTTTCTGATTTGATTTTTTCCCATCTGGTTTTCGAATTTGGAGTTTCAAACAAATCTTTCTAACCTTTGATAGTTCGTATTAAATTCAAAATGTCATTGGATCAATTTATTCGCTTTGCGGATACCCTGGTCGAATTCGAGGCTGACCTTAACAACAATCAGTATCCTGTGGATTCGGTTCATACCATCGAAGTCCATCGTGGTGAACTGAGATCCAATTGGAATCGAGTTAAGATAGCATACGATAACTTTTTGTCCGATATTGAGAAAGAAAGGGGCCAAACTGAAGATCCAATTGACGTAGAGTCTTTTAAGATAAAATACAAGAGTACATATACGACGTACTGTAATTGTATGAAAAAATTGTCCGAAATCTGTGATGAGCTTCGTATAGGGTCCTTGCCCCATCCAGAGCTTTTAATGCCAAACATTTCTGCTCCTGCTAATCCTGTTCCTAATATCCCTGCTTCTTCTAGTGCGTCACGAGAGTTTCCTACTTCGTTTCCTTCCGAATCTCATAGTTTTCACTTGCCACCTGTTGAGATCGAAACATTTCATGGTGAATATTCCTCCTGGCCCACCTTCCGAGACATGTTTACCGCAGTCGTATCCAACTCTCGGGCAAGCAATGTCGAGAAGTTATTCTTCTTAACGCGGAAAACCACAGGTGAGGCCAGAGAAATCGTTCAAAAAAGTCCCTTAACAAATCAAGGTTTCGACTTGGCATGGAACAATTTGTGTTTGCGATATGAGAACCGAAGGATATTGGTTAATGGTCAATTAAAGATCTTGTTTAACCTAAAGGCTTCTCATTCCGAATCAGGAAACTCTCTGAAACAATTACAAAGAGATATAAATTCTTGTATCTCTATCCTGAAACTTTATAATATAGATGTCGGAAGTTGGGATCCTATATTCGTATTCATATGTACGAGTAAACTGCCAGAGAACACCTTGACACTGTGGGAACAACAGTTAAAGGATAAAACTTCCATTCCAAAGTGGTTAGAATTAGACGAATTTTTAACTAATCGCTACAGGACTCTAGAATCTGTTTCCGAGATTCGTGGTTCAAGCAGTTCTAAAAATAATGATCCGAAACCCCAAAATATGTCTATTTCAAATTCGAATAAAAAAATTCACAGCTTTCAGACTAATGTATCTCTTCCAAAGTGTCAATTGTGTCCTAAAGAAGAACATACCATACGTAAATGTCCTAAGTTTTTAAAAATGAGTTATCAACAACGCCTTAACGAAATCAAGAAGGAGAGTATGTGTCTGAATTGCTTTTCAAAAACGCATAGTGTCAGAAACTGCACTAGCAAGCATACTTGTTTCAAATGCAAAAAAAGACACAATACTCTTCTGCATAAGGAAGATGATAACTCTAATTCTTTTCACCATGGTCCAAGTTCCAGTTCGACACTCAATCCTACTTCGGCCGCCTTTTCCCCTTCAAATTCAGGTCCAATACAGTCCATTAATACTTCAACTTCAGGCCAAGTTCAATCTTGTTTCGCTTCGAATTCAACGAGTGTTTTACTTGGAACAGCGTGGGTGAATATACTCCATTTAGGCACGAAATATCAGGTACGGGCACTAATAGATTCAGGTTCAGAGGGAACTTTTATATCCGAACGTCTTCTCAATACCCATAAGCTTCCCTCACACCCTACCAATGCCCAGATTTCGGGCCTGAATAACACTATTTCGGCAAAAGTTCAACGCCAATGCTCTCTGGTACTAGGCTCTAACATGGATAGCGACATCGCAATTCCTATCACAGCTCTTGTAGTTCCTCATTTGTCCAATAATCTCCCCTCTCAGAACTATTCCTTTTCAAGATTTTCGAGTATTCCAAATATACAATTAGCGGATCCTAAGTTCTATTCCAGTTCGAAAATTGACATGCTGATTGGTGGCGACATATTTCCAATGATTGTTCGTTCTGGGATTATACATAATGTTTGTGAATCTCTTTTAGCTCAAGAAACCATTTTTGGGTGGATTCTTACTGGTCCGGTTTCTCGTCATACCAATCCATGTCTTTCTATTGTTTCACATTTCTGCGAAATTACCTTAGATAAGGCAATTTCGCGCTTCTGGGAGGTGGAGAATCTTCCAAAGAAGAACTTTTTGTCTGCTTCTGATCGGACATGTGAAGAGCTATACGTTCAAACAACGCGTAGGAATTCAGATGGTCGGTACATTGTGTCGTTACCATTCAAGGATGGGTTTCCAGAGAATCCAAACCTTGGCCATTCTAGATCCAGTGCAATGGCACAATTTCTTAGAAATGAGGCTAGACTAATTCGAAATGCTGACCTTAAATTGGAATATGACAAGGTTGTTCGTGAATACGAAGAACTTGGACACATGACCAAAGTAAATTCTTCCAATAATAATCAAAATAATGTGTATTATCTTCCTCACCATGCTGTGGTTAAGCCTGAAAGCGTTACTACAAAGGTTCGCGTCGTTTTTAATGCTTCGTCCCCATCTTCCAATGGATTGAGTCTGAATTCTGTCCTTCATGTAGGTCCTATTCTACAAAATGATCTCACTTTACTGATTCTTAGGTGGCGATTCTTTGAATTTGTTTTCAATGCCGATATTCAAAAAATGTATAGACAGATATTAGTTGACCCAAAACACACCCCATACCAAAGAATTCTATTCCGCGATACTCCAAATAGTTCAATTGGTGATTACGAATTGAAAACAGTCACCTTCGGCTTAAATTGTGCTCCCTATTTGGCAATTCGTACGCTTCTACAACTTTCGGATGATGTTCGGGACGCTTTCCCCATAGCAAGTTCAATTCTCCGAAAAGCAATGTATGTGGACGATGTTCTGGCCGGAGCTCATTCAAAACGAGATGCTATTCTAGCGAAAAATGAGCTAATTCATGCATTACAATCAGCTGGGTTCGAGCTGAGGAAATGGACATCTAACTCCGTGGATATATTAGAGGATCTTCCAAAGGATCATTTACTTCATGAACATTTTCTAAAATTCGAAGATAATAGTTCGGCAAAAACGCTTGGAATTCGATGGAATGCTCATTCCGACGAGTTTTATTTTGACGCAAAACAGTTCGATAAGATTTCTGCATACACAAAAAGAGAAGTTCTCTCCAGAATAGCAAAATTGTTCGATCCTGCTGGCTGGCTAGCGCCATGTATAGTTCTTGCTAAAATTCTAATGCAAAAAATATGGATAGATGGCACTGATTGGGACGAGCATCTATTGCCGGATACGCTCGGTCAGTGGAAGTCGTTCGAAGACAGTTATTTGTCGATCAATTCCATACGAATTCCTCGATGGATTGGTTATGTTCCCAATTCTGAAGTCCAGTTCCACGGATTTTGTGATGCTTCAGAAAAGGCCTACGCAGCAGCATTGTACATTCGAATATCAACGAATTCCTCGGTCCAAACAAGCTTAATTTCATCCAAAACCAAAGTTGCCCCAATAAAGACTCTGTCCATTCCGAGACTTGAGCTTTGTGGGGCTTTACTTCTAGCTGAGATGATTGAGATCCTCATACCAAGCCTAGATGTGGAGAACTATACAATCTCATGTTGGACAGATTCTATAATTGTGATTTCCTGGCTGGCAAAACCACCATGTAATTGGCTCACTTTCGTTGCCAATCGTGTTTCAAAAATCAGCCAAATAGTACCTTTTTCTAAATGGAATCATATAGTTTCTAAAGAAAATCCAGCTGATTTAGCAAGTCGTGGCATTTCCCCTTTAGAATTAAAAAACAGTGAACTGTGGTGGTTTGGCCCATCATGGCTTAAGAATTCCACTTCTGAATGGCCAAACCAACGTTTATCCAGTATTCCAGTTACTGATTTAGAAGTCAAACCTGTTCGAGTTCACTTTACGTATTTTTCCGACTTTGATGATTTGTTAGAAAGATTTTCGTCTTTTCCTAGGGCTATGCGTGTAATGGCATATGTTTACAGGTTTTACTATCGTACTCACCCAAGGTTTCGTTCGAATTTCTACAGAGATTCTACTCTGGTCACTAGTTCGGAGATAGTTTTCAATTCGTGACAAACTTATTTCAGTGTGTCAAAAGGCTGCGTTTCCAAATGACTACCAGGCTCTTTGTTCTCGAAAAAATCTTCCGAAATCCAGCAGTATTCTCAACCTAAACCCGTTCTTAGATCCAGAAGGTTTAATACGTTCTTGTGGTAGGCTAGAGTTTTCTTCTGAACTATCATATAATGAAAAGCATCCGATTATTATTCCATACAATTCCAAATTTGCCAGACTTTTGGTACAGTTTATTCACGATATATCCTTACATGGTGGAAACCAATTAGTTCTTCGAGTCCTGCGGACACAATATTGGATACCCAAGGCCAAAATCTTATAAAGGCGACCATCAACAATTGTAAAACTTGCGTAATTTATAAGAAGCGCTGTCAACGACAGATAATGGCTGCTTTGCCAGCTGAACGTTGCGAAATTAGCCGTCCTTTTACTCATACAGGACTAGACTTCGCTGGTCCTTTCGACGTTAAGAGCTATTCTGGTCGCGGTTGTCGCACTACAAAGGGATATGTCTGTGTATTCGTCTGTTTTTCCACCAAGGCAATTCACCTGGAGGCAACATCCGACCTCTCCACTCCTGCCTTCCTAGCAGCATTCAGCAGATTCGTTTCACGTCGAGGATGTCCTTTACATCTTTATTCTGATAACGGGACTAACTTCGTTGGGGCATCTAGAACTTTAGCTAAGGAATTTCTTCAAACCACACAACAGCGCATTCAAGCCAACTATGCTCATCAAAATATTACGTGGCACTTTATTCCAGCAGGCGCCCCTCATATGGGTGGTTTATGGGAGGCAGGAGTTAAAAGCTTCAAGTCCCATTTCCGGAAAACGGCCGGTTGCTTCAAATACACACACGAAGAATTATCCACACTACTTTCCAAAATTGAGTCTTGCTTAAACTCCCGTCCGATTTCTCCAATGTCTACTGATCCAGCAGACCTTTGCGCCCTTACTCCGGGTCATTTTCTTATAGGTTCGCCTCTCCTCGCGCCCATCGATCCACAAATAAATAATTCATCCATATCCATCACAAACCGATGGCAAAGATTGAAGCTTGTTCATCAAAACTTCTGCCAGCGATGGAAAAATGAATATTTGAAGGAGCTTCACAAAAGAATAAATGGAAAAGGCCTGAACAGAATCTACAAGAAGGCGCTCTCGTCGTTGTAAGAGAAGAAAACCTTCCACCGAACTCTTGGCGGCTTGGTCGAGTCACCAAAATCTATACCGGCTCCGATAATCGAGTTCGCGTTGCTGAAATATTAACTCAACGAGGGCTAATAACGCGTCCAATCGTAAAGCTTATTCTTCTGCCGACAGAATCTTAGGTGTTTACATTTCTTTAAATTATTTACTTATTTTAACATTTCTCCTTCAGATCAACATGCCTAAAATTACTTCGTCCGACTCTAAATCTTCCCCCGATAGACTTCCGAGGCAGTATAATGCATTTCCATGCAGAATTTGCAAGCGACCACATCCTTTGCGGACATGTAAGAAGTTTTTGGCAATGAACATAAACGATCGCATTCACGCAGTGCGTAAGCATAAGTACTGCTCAAACTGCCTTGCACATGACCATTCGCATGGCACATGTTTTTCGAAACTTGGATGCAAACATTGCCACAAGTTTCACCATACGCTTCTCCATGTCAATCCACGACTCGTAAAAGACTTATTGTCTCCTCGTTCTCGTTCGCCTTCTCCAAAACCATCTACGTCTCGAACAGGTCAATCCTCGTCCAGACGTAAAGAAGAGGCCTTGCCACCATCGACATCAAAATTTACATCAAAATCGACATCGTTAACATCCATTCTGCGTCAGAATACATTGGTACTTTTACCAACCGTACTGGTAAAGGTGTCTTCTCATCATGCTAGGTGCTTACTGGACTCAGCATCTACGGTTAGTCGCGTCTCAAAGGGTTCGTTGATAAGTTAAGATTAACCGCATTCAGTCTACACGAAGAGACATTCTGTCCTATTGTTCTAAAATCTAGATTCGATTCGAGTTCAAAAATCGAGGGAACCTTTAGGGTAGATAATCGGATAGCTCTCCGAACTCCATCAGAATCCCTTCCTGAACACTACAAAACCCATTTTCGCGATATGTTCTTAGCCGATTCCAAATTCTATGAATCGGCTTCAATTGATATGGTAATCGGTGCTGATCTTTATCCGAAGATAATTCTAGAAGGGGTTTTTTCGAAAATAGGCTTTCCTACTGCTCAAAGCACTATATTCGGGTGGACTATTTATGGTCCTTGTTCGCTTTAGATTCGAAATGCACTTTCAGGCATGCAAAATACAAAACGTATTATTTAAAACACAGAATTTCTTATTTTGAATTTATATCTATTTCTATTATATTAAAATTGTTTTAATTTTTTTTTTATTTCAATATTTGTAAACTAGAATGTAAGCATTTGAATTACAGTAAAATTGAATTTAAATTTTTATAATTACTCTCTTCTTCCTTTTTCACAGCAGTATTAAGACATGGCATGGCTCCTTTGTTCATTTGCACGTATCCTGCAAGGCGGGCGGCAATGTTTACGCCAACAACATGACATATTCATGTCATTAACCCTACAACTTCAGCCCACTTGCTTTCCATACAACGTAAACAAAAGCTGAAGTTTACGTGGATAAATAGTTATCAACATAACTATTTATCTCTTTCTAATTTAATGCCCAACAATAGAGAAATGTCAAACGGCCTAACATGTCCTAACACTGCTTCCGGATTGTAAACTAATTACTACTCTAAGTTCTTCTCTGTTCTAACCCTAGACTGATAAAGAGGTAAATCCATCCATCTAAATAAAGAATTTCGAATTTCGTTCTAAAACCCTAATTTGTTTTATTTTCTTTTCATATCTACTATTTCCGATTGGGGTTTTATTCTGAGCAAATAAAATAATTAACATTATTTTATTTACTTTTCAAGAGTGATTTTCTCCTTAGCATTTCATCCCATCGTGTTGAGCTAAACATAGCTTTATTTGACAATGAAATATGAGCTTTTAAATGAGTTTCGGAAAATCTTAATCAGAAATATTTTTTGCTTGAGTACACTGAAAATAATCCATGCTCAACTTAACGAAAAAAAATTTCGTAACTTATATTTTCGTTATTTAAAAAAAATGTGTATATACGAAATATTACTTAATAAAACCCTTTTCTATTTTTACGAAAGTACGAAAACCATTCGTAATATTTTTTCATAAATTTTAGCGAAATTAAACATAATGATATTAAGTATATTATCATTAGATAAAACTACAACATTTTATATAAATTTAAGAAAAAGTATAATATAATGACGCCTATTTTCATAAAAAAAGTTTAAAATTCGTGTGGAGAATAATTTTTAACTAAAATTAGAAAATAATTTTAAAATTAACAAAATGTTTGCATAATTAATATTTCGTAATAATTTACAAATTTTTTTATCCATATTTATAAAAATTCACTTTTTTTTCAATTTATATGTAAATTAATTTTTTTATTTTTCATTATCTAAATATTTCGTACAATTTCGTATATATTAGACATGGATTTTTTTCAGTGTATAGACAATAATTAGTATTTACTCCCAAAAGTACGAATTTGGTATCTTTTTCATCCACATACCCCTTCTTGTCCCTTCTTATCCAAGTTTTGGAAAAGAATATAGTATATCACACCATACACCTATATATCTAACTATGTTTCAAATTTAGTGTAATTAAAAACATTATGCACACGCTACAGGTCGCAATTTGCAAGATAATTTGATAAATTTGCCACTACTCTTCCAAGGACGAATCCTATTGAAAATGGTTAAAATCGGACCATTATCTCGCATAGCCCCCAAACAATCGCACCCCCGAATATGGCTTTTGAGCTCATAAATATGTTAAATGTTCTTGTATCACACCAAAAATCTGCAAAACTAAGTTTTTTATAAGTTTTAATGACACTGCGGATTTTCGCAATGTTCGGTCCTCATTTGATCCCATCCACCATAATGGCCCCTTCATAAAATGACTTGATGGTTCAAATTCACTTATAAACACTAATATTACGGCGATATTCTACATAAATCTTTAATGTAGACGTTAATTCCCTTTACCAAAATTTATAGGGATAGGTCCATATTAACCACCTACCCCCATACAACCCTCTTTCAGAAAATCCTTTTTGTCAATAAATTGTTAAAATATTTCTGAAATAAAGTAAAAATTAATTTAAATGTTTTATTATTAAAAATAATCAACATTTGTAACGTAAACACTGGTGTAGGGCATCATATCGTCAGCCATGATCAACTATAAATTTTTACTTGTTTATTTATTTGTTTTATTTATTCATTGAAGTAGTTTGAATTGTCTGAAAATATGCATTTATTGAGTCTCTTTACGCAGCAGATTTCCATTTTTCCGGCTTTTTCCCCTAAGGGTGTGAGTTCTAAATATATGAACATATCTGAGACTATCAGAATCATAGTTTATAATAGTTTGGCTTTGGAATAGAAAAAATCGTTCTTAAAGCACAAAAGTACTAATTTTGTCAGATTTTCGCCAATTGGCCTATTTTTTTTTGTCCCCTTCCGGTCCAATTTTCGCAACGGCACTTTATTTATTTACATTTCTAACAAATTAAGTAGTTTAATCGAAAATGATTTTGCTTAAGGATAGACAAAATCAGTATTTACTATCAATAGTACTGATTTTGCCCGTTTTTCACCCATTTTACTCCCTTTTTGCCCCTCCTAGTCCAAGTTCTGAAAACTTGAACACTCTCAAAGTATAGATCTTACCATGTTCCAAAATCGGTCCAGCCGCTTAGGCGTGATTGACGAACAAACAAACAAACAAACGAACAGACTTACAAAGAGATTTATAATATATATTAGGATTCCAATTATATTTTCACTTCACCAAAAAACACTAAAAAATTTTTAAAACTTTTCTTTCAATGCAAAAACAGAAAATTATGTGGTGTTAGTG